CAATAACTTTTGAGGCTATCTTTGTATCAACATTCAAAAGGGAAATTGGCCTCCAGTTTTGAAGATCACAACAATCTTGGTCCTTTTTCTTAATTAATGTGATTACAGCCTGTCTTTGTGAAGGGCTCATTTCTCCTTGTACAGAAGATGCATTGAAGCATTCAACTAAAGGATCCCCCAAGAAATTCCAGAAAGTCTTATAGAAATCTATAGGTAGACCGTCATTTCCTGCCACCTCTTTTGTCAATGATTGGTTTTAAAGGACAGTTGAAGTCTCCTCCAACAATGATATTTTCAATTTCGTCCAAATTGTTTTTCACAATGGTTTGCAAAAGTGACCAATAAAAGGTAACCAATTCATTATCCCGATTTGGAGTGTAAACATTAACTAGACAAGCAGGTTCTCCACTTAGAAGAACTTTAAGCGTAATAAATCTACCATTAGAGTCAACAATGGATTTTCAACTGTACAATCAAAATTATTCCTGATTAGAATTGCCACCCCTCTCGCATGTTTAGCCCCACGAGAGCAAAACAATGTAGCACCCCATTCTCTTTTCCACGTAACTTCATTCCCTTGAGTGGAATGTGTTTCCTGCAGGAAAACAATATGCGGTTTTGTTTTCTAAGCCAAGTAAATATCATCTGTCTTTTTTGAAAGTTGCTGATGCCTCTCGTATTTAAAGATATAAGTTTACCCTTAACAATTTTTGATGAAAAAAACATGGAGAACAATCAAAATGAAGGAGAAGAAGGATCGTCATGTATCTATAATTAAACAACCATCCAAGTACAATCACTGAAATCTTCCGATAATAAGAGCCATTAAGTGACAACTTTGAGCTATATGAATAATGTGATGTCTGCAAAATTACCATTAAGAATAAAGCGTAAATAAATAAATTTACTGCAAAAGAGTTGTTCACAAAATTTGTGCTTGTGCAGCTTTGAATGAGCAAATGGGACCACAAATTTTGCATATTTAATGTACTGGTATTGTAATATAAATTGAATTTATATTTCTCCTTTATATTAAGCTTCTTGTTCAGAGTTTTCTGTAAGCTCCGTAATTGCAACCAAAAACGTGATGTGGGCACTGAGCCATGACAGCAGCACTGAAATATTTGACAGCCGAGGTTAAGTAAAGCTCAGTTTTTCCTCTGAAAATGAAGTGAAAAACCCAGCATTCACTGTTCAGTACCTGGGACAAATTGAAAAGAAATTAGAGATGGCACAAATGAAGGTCATAAAATGTTTTCTTTCAAAAATATAATTAAAATTAGTTATTATTTTTATCTCCAGTGAATGTACGTGTAATTTACTTAGTTCTTTAAACACAACAACATGCAACCCAGAGCTTGGCTTGCACATGAACGATTTTCGAGAACAAATAACTGCAATGTATTTGAAAAAAAGAAATAAATAAAAGATTTCTTTCAACAATAGCAACAAACTTTGCAAGATCTTACACATTCTTTAAACTCGGCAGCTGTAAGATGTTTGTGTAAATATTGAAAGTGAGGTATAAAATTGGCGAGCTTATCGAGCAGGAAAGTACGAATAAATACATGCACTATTTCAAGGCTTTATTATAAAGCGAAACATTTGCAAAATGTGTCAAGTTTAAGTTTGATTGTATTAATTTTATCACTTGTGAAATCATGAATGAAAAACCCAAACTATTGCAAAGGTTCAAAAAGTCAATGATAGTCCACTCACTTAATCAGAAAAAATTCTGAGCTTAAATCCGCGGGCAACTTCGCAAAGTATTACAGGCTTGCGCTTGCAACGGTTACCAATCACAAGCTTCATCACGTTCACTGAATTTCACGCCTAGCACTGTGTTAAAGCCACTCAAAACTTGTCTTTTAACAAAATAAACGTCAAACCTCAATCTAGTACCTTCAATGCCAGCAAACTCTTTTCTCAGTTGGGTTTCTCATCTGTTTTACATATGTGGTTGACCACAAAATGAGAACGTTTTTGACGTTTTTGATATTTTTTTTCAAATTTGATATGGATGACAATGATTAAACTGTTCAACTAGCACAATACATTACATGTATGCTTCTCTCAGTGAAATTGCTTTTCTTTAACAAATGAACTTAAAACCATGATTGCTTAAAATACACTGAAATGCACTTTTTAGAACCCCAATTTCAAAAATTTCCCGGGGAGGCTCCTGGACTCCCCAATAAAAGGTAGTGGTTGGTCCTCCCTCTTCCACATGGCTCTGATAAAACCACCCCACATCTTTTTATTGGCATTGTGCTCCGCCTACTCAAAGTTATTCTCCCTCTACTTCGAATTCGCGGGAGAACCCTGCTTGTTTAAGTATAGAAATTGTTTGGTTACTAAGTGTTGTGTGAACACTACTGCACCACAATCTCCTGTCATTTCTGTTGATATTAATAATTTCAATTCAGTAGTTAGAATCACTGCAGTCTATTGTGTAAGCCAATGGGAATTACAGTATTGTTGTTTCTCTGTTCTTATCAGGTTGTTGATGCTGCAGATGTTGTTCTGGAAGTGTTAGATGCTCGTGATCCTCTTGGCTGTAGATGTCCACAGGTGATGATCTGTTATAGATCTTAAGTTTCTATCTTCTCATTGCCATTTGAGCTTGTGTACTGTACATACAGTTGGTGTCAGACATGTAGACTTGATGAAGATCTTGGAGTGTGAGCACAGTCACTGTAATAAACAGTAATCTAAAGGCAAGACTCTTGACCTCTCAGTTAATAAAACATGTTTTCTGGTCTCAAGGGTATTCTGTTACCTGAAGTTTGACATGTAATATTATAGTGACCTGTAAAGTAGACCAATTTGCTTATGTACAAACTTCAGCCAGACACTTAATGTACCTCAGTACCTAGGCAGTCCCTCTATTTGTAAGGAAGTATTATTTCAACCTTGTTCCCAGGGTCTCTCATCTTGCCGCCCCCTGGAGCGAGCGAAGAGAGACCCTGGTTGGGTCTGGTCACATGCCTCCCAGAATCTGGGAGATGACAATTCAATTATTGAAGGGATGGGTGGCCTAGTAGGAATTTTGTCTATACTTAGCCTACGGGAGTTCGGGAAGTGTTGTCACCAAAGTAAACCAAGAACGATATGATGTTCTGCGGCAATGTCCGGCGGTAATCATCTGATAGCGGAAATCCATGTCGCTGATGGTTGCATGGTTCAGTGAAGGACGTTACATATTGTAAAAATCTCCTCACGAAGGCGAATGGAGAATTACACACCGCAGCCGAGGCTGTGTATGGAAGATGTTTGACTCATCTTTACCTCAGAATGCCGAATGCGCCCCGAACATTGCAGAGCACGAAGGAGAATACAAGCCCCGGGAATACAACGGACTCGTCGCGGTATGCATTTCGCCGTCTTTACTGATAAACTGGATTTATCTTCGACCGAAAGGAGGCTAGAAAAAGAAAAATATAATTTTTATTGTGTCGTTAATAAATTAGTGTACGTGACTCCAACGGTTCGTGACAATTGTGCACATTCTCATTTAATTTTCGATCACTCGACCTTTCTTTACTTCACGCGTCTTTCTTTACTTCACACATTCTATATTGTGACGCCGCAGGTGACTCCGGYCCTGGCTATTTGATTAGAACTGTTTGCAAACACAGTGCGTTGCACGAATATCGTATTTATCTTCTTCAGAGACTGCCGTAGCTTTACATTGAGAAAGCTATACGTTTTCCTAGAGACATTCTTATGTTTTTTACATCAATTTGATCTAGTGCATTCAAAGGAGAAACAACAATTACCACGCGCTGCTCGACGTCCACATTTGAAGTATGACTGACTTTCCATAAATCCAGTGGGTAAGACGGCAACACTGAAAATCACGACCACTAAATTGCCTCGAGACAGACTTGCTTAACCTTTAGGTAAACGTTGGAACAGATATTATTCGAAATTTCAGCCTGAAAGGTAAGTATTGATAAAAGCCGCGGGTAATGTGGCGGTCGCAACGCGCGACAAAGCTCAACGCGACAAACTGCTGATTACAGAGGACCCCTCCCTGACGTTCTCAATTGTCAAAGTGGCACGTGACCAGACCCAACCAGGGTCTCTCTTCGCTCGCACCAGGGGGCGGTAAGATGAGAGACCCTGGGAACGAGGTTGGTATTATTTTGGGAGAAGATTGAGATATTATTTAGAGTAAGCTGAATTTCTTTATACAGAGCTGCAAATTTGCAGTGAAATCAGTGAGGTCAAGTTCAAAATATACTTTCTGTTCAAAAGCAGTACACCACCAACAAACTGTAACATGCAGTGATAAAACTGGAGCTGCTCAATGGGGGGAGGAAGGAACAAGGGAAGGGGGGATAGTGTTGAAAATGAGGACCCAGAGTGGAGATAGGTTTTTGCTTTCCCCAAAAGTGGAAGGTGAGGGAGGGGAGGAATGGTGGGGCAGTTCCTCTGGACCCCTCCCTTAGATATGTCACTGACTGCTTTGTTTCTATACTTGTTCACAGGTTGAAGAGTCAGTGCTATCATCAGGAGTCAACAAAAAATTAGTTCTGATTTTGAATAAAATAGGTGGGTTTATAATATTAAAACATATGTTTGTCAAATTGTTCAATTGATGACAAATTTCTAAATGTTACAAAAATTATTTCATCTCAGACCTTGTTCCAAGGGAAATTGTGGATCAGTGGTTAAAATATCTTCGCAATGAATTTCCAACAATAGCTTTTAAGGCATCTACACAGAGTCAGAAACAGAATTTGGTAAGTGAATTAATAGTTGTTTATCTTTTTATTTTCTGCTTGTAATGATTGATATATTGTTACAAACTGTAAGCTTCAGAGATACAGACAGAGAGATTTAGTTTTCAGCTTGCCACGGTGATATCTAGTAACTTATAACATTAATGCCCCATTATTTGGTGACCCAAGTGACACATACAGTGGAATTTACCTGTCTGTAAGCAGATACTTTCAGTTTGTCGTGGTCTGAGTCACACACTGTACATACTGTACTGTATGTGTAAATGTAAGTATACTGTACATGTGAGTATGTACATAAGACTATAGTAAGTATGCCTCTTACAGAGATTTACAGGCTTTCAAGGTCTTTTTCCGTTCAAAACACATAAAATTTATGCTTCTGGCCTTAAAATGAAAAGAAGAAGTAGTATTTTATGGGCTTGGCTAAATCTATATATTAAACTTAACTGGACACTTTTTGACCCCAAGAGTGTCTGGTTGTATGATTTAAACTGAGAAATGTAAACATGTAGGTGTATATACTTAACTGTTTGAATGCAAATTGCTGTCAAGACATCTAATGAAACCATTACTTAATATTTTTCAGCATCAAAGTAAAGTTTCTTCATCATTAGCCTCAGCAGACCTGCTAACAAGTAGTGCTTGTATAGGAGCGGACACGCTTCTCAAGCTCCTGGGCAATTATTGTCGTAACAAGGATATCAAGACAGCTATTACTGTTGGAATAGTTGGTATGTTAACATCATTTGAGATGTTTTTGTATGTTATTCACAATTTTTTCAGCACAAAAATTAGCGAAATTAATAAACAATGTTTCAACATTGTCAGATGGCATTGTCAAGTAAACTTGTAGGTTAGTTTTTGCATTATATGGCCAAACATGTTAAGTGACAAGAAAACGTGAGTATTACATGTGGGAAACTATGTTAATTAAACAAACAGTTTTGTTCTGATTGAGTCTGACTGAGTATTGAGTACTGGCGTAGGGTGGTTTGATTCAGTTTTGTCTGGACCATACCTACCATTTTCAATTGGCGTTTTACCAACCTTCCCTTACTCTGATCGATGTGCAAATTACACCAGCTTTTGGAAAAAGACTGAAGTTTAGTTGAATGTGTTTTTTAAGGTTATCGATATTTCCATGGAAACAATAAACCAAAAATATGAAAATCGGTAAAGCGTGAATTTTGTACGAACCAGATCTGTTATAGAAAATCCGATGCCAATTTCTGAAATTAAAATGTAGCAAGGGGAATATGTAAGAATAAAAAAATTATGTATGTTTTATTTCGAATGAATGGCAAAAACATTTCAAACCATGCTTTTTGTTTAATGAAATTAAATGGACTGAAAGAAGAATGCTATTTCAATGAAATTGCTCCAAAAGGCACCAAAATGTGTCTTGAAGTTTTGTTTTGAAGCCATGAAAGTTTTGTTCATTTGTATTTTCTTGATCTCTAGAACGAGACTTTTTCTCAACATCACTTCCATAAAAAGTTAAGAACAATCTTAAAAACGGTGATAACAATTTTATTCCAAAGTTTCATTAGCATTGATACACTGGAACACTTTTAGATTTGTGGATGAAATAGGTGCTCAAAGACACGAAAAAGTTGTGTCACAAAATCCCGAACGACTGCACATTGATCATAGTAAGGGAAGGTTGGTAAAACGCCAATTGAAAATGCTAGGTATGGTCCAGAAAAAACTGTACCAAACCACCTTAAGATCTCTGATATATAACATTTCATATCTCAGGCAGTCAAGTTTACTTCTGCATTTCTTCAAGATGGAAAAATGGTACTCAGAATACTCAGTCAGACTCACTCAGAGTAAAACGGGTTGTTTAGTTGACATTATAGTTTCCTAATAGTCACTTTTTCTTGTTTTCTTGTATAAACTATAAAATTAATGTTAATGTAATTTCCAGTAAAAGGAAAAAAATATATGAATAAGTACTACTTCTCCTTAATTAAATTGGCAGAACAGTATGAAATGAACTTTTATTTAATACATAGCAGTAAGTAACACATTGTAATGTACTGTAATACACAGGCAACCCAAGCTCTCAATGTTATCCTTTTTTTCACTTTTATGTGAATGTTCAGCCTAACGTGACATATGGCATATACTATTACATATACTACATATTACATATACTATTACAATTTGTCAACAGTCAAACCAAAATGCTCCCCGGGTACCCTCGTGCTTTGTTTGTCAAACCCATAAAGGGAGTGCCTGGGGAGCATTTTAATTTGACTGTTGACAAATCGTTGCTGACTACCCCCGGTCGGGCTAATTATAATTACCCAACACTGCGAAAGTGTCCTAACTTTTGTGAAGCGGCTGTTTTCGAATTTGTGAACGAAGTAATCTCGAAATAAATGTATCGCTGCGAAGGCGTTGTGGACGGAATCGCGTAGCAAGTGAACTGACATGGAACTTCAACATCTCTTCAATTCTACAGAGGAATTGAGCCGGCAGGGTTATTTTCAGTGGATTTATTCGCTTCGGGCGGCGGGCACTCTGGAAATCAGTGTCCGACCTTGTCTTCTTTTAGTAGTGGAAATCCACAGAACGATAACTCACCGAAATCGCAATAGATCGGCCTGAGGAGCTGGCAAACAACAAAGAATACAACACGGCAACAGGGTAAGTAGATTTTATTCACAAAATATAAGAATAACTGACTTTTCAAGCAAAGCCGTTGCATTCTCATACAGACCTTTATAAATTCAAACCATTGTAACACACCACCTCCATATGCTGCAAGGCCAGAGTCGCGTGTTGCGAAGTAAAATTCGGTCGTTATGTAATAGTATATGCCATATGTCACGTTAGGCTGAACATTCGCATAAAGTGAAAAAAAGGATAACATTGAGAGCTTGGGTCGCCTGTGTATTACAATACATTACAATGTGTTACTTTCTGCTATGTATTAAATAAACGTTCGCATAAAAGTGAAAGCAAAAAAAGGGATAACATTGAGAGCTTGGGTGGCCTGTGTGTAATACAGTATTATATTGTAAGTAATGTTCTGGAATGTAAATATGTAACAAAAGTAAGATAAATCATATTCACGTGAGTATATGAAAGCCATATATTTGAACTGCAGAGAAAGATATGAAGATGTGATTGATCACTGCAGTTACACACAATATTATTGTTATGTGTTTAAATGTTTTTTTTTTTCTGTTGTGGGACAAAGTATACTAAGTAATTTTAGTACCATAATGTTGTACATGTGAGAAGTGTAATGTATCATAAAACATTGTAACAAATTAATTAAACAAATTATTTTTTTTAGGTTTTCCCAATGTTGGCAAAAGCAGGTAAAATTCAGTTACTGTTTTTCACTCAAATAGTGGATTATCGTAACTACAATGTTACCATGTAGCTAGGTTTACTCTCTATACTTTTATCATTACATCATTTGTAATTGAAATTTAACAATTACATATCTTTTTGAATTCATTTGTCTAATGAATGTTCTTTTGACGTTGTTTTCCAGCATCATAAACAGTTTAAAAAGGTGCAAGGCCTGTACAGTGGGGGCTACTCCAGGAGTTACAAAGTGAGTAAATTTTATTGCAGTGTGAGGATTGATTTCAAGTGAGCAAATAAACATTATACTCCTAAGTTTATTAGAGAGCACTTTGCATGCCCAGGCAAGACCTTGTGGTAACTTTTATTTTTTCTCCTTAATTTTGTTGAAAGTCTAATTAACAATCTGTTAGATGTAGTTGCAGTAAGTGTGTACATTGAAACTGGTGCGACATGGTAGACCATTGATTGAGCAGTCTGGGATCAAGCCCTGGCTAGTCACAGTGTTGTGTTCTTACACAAGACACTTGGGCCTCTCTCCACTCAGATGTGTAAATAGGTACAGCTAATTACATGCTGGGTCAGTAACCCTGTGATGGACTACCGTCCAATCCACAAGGGAGAAGAAATACTTGTTGTTTCTTCATGCAGCAGAAACCACAGATAAGTTTGCCAACCCATTGGACACAAGACTTGAATGAAGAGTTTACCTTACATACCTACCACTGTTCAAAACACACACTGATTATGTATTCAAGTGACCTGTGCATCAAAGTTACTTTAATCCGCTCTTTCTTGTTTATACGCCATTGGTTAAGTTGTTAATTCCTAAGAAGATTTTTGAAGTTACCTCTTTAATGAACTCTAAAGGGGCAGATCTTGGTTTCCCTATTACAGAGGGGACTGTATTATAGAGGAAGAGATTGATCTATGAATTCTGGTTAAGCTGGGACTGGGTTAACTGTTCTTAATATAGAGGTGTTTGCATTATGGAGGTGTCTGTAGGGAAAAGGTTTGACTGTATATGTTGTGGTTTTTTCAAACCAGTTTGATTTAAATTTTCCTTTTTTTCTCTTTATGATATAACTGTTAGATGCAGTGCTTTCAATAAGATTTGAAGTAGACATCTGCCAGTATAAAAGTAGGCAGCTAAGGATATGTAAGGGGGTTGGGGGCATGCTCCCCTAGAAAATTTTGAAATTTAATCTCTCAGATATACGATTTCCAGCTTTCTGGGCATCAAAGTTTGTAAAGTCAATGAGGAATATATGCTGGAACCGATCTTTTTCGCTCGCTGCTCGTAAACGATTTATCTCTGTTTGGGTTACCAAAGTACGTTGGCTTCCTTCACAACTGCAAGTGTAAAAACTGTGAACAGGCTTGTTGAATGAATTTCCAAACAATGAACAAATAAAGTCTTTCATTTCTTTGATTGATAGCCCTTTGCGTGGCTCACGACTTTCCAAAAACTACAAAGATGACAAGGTCTTATCTGCGACTTCAGATGATACAGTGTTAGAGTCAGTTGGTTGATTGACGAAATTTCATCATTGGAATGAAGCGTTTTGTTTTCTGCAATTAATATTCATTCGTAAGCAAAGAAGAACACAATGGGTTTATGAAAGAATAATTCCGAAATGAAATAAATTTATTCAAATACCTGTTCTGGTATGTGGTTTCTTTGAAATCAGTCTTTCCAGACTGTACAGGAGCATGCTTTGCTTGACTGACCAGGTGGTAATAGTTTGAAAGCAAGGTTAAGTTTTATTATGATACTGCTGAAAATAGCTGAATGTTTTGCATTTGCAATCATATTCGATCAGTGTGTATGCTTTTATATACACGAACAGTCAAGGCAAATGTAAGAAATGTTTTATCAGTTTATTTGAACCGAGAAATAGGTAGGCTGTAATGTAAGAGTTAAATTTTTAAAGATTTTGTTGACAAACACAGCCAAGTCGCTAGTGACTCAATGACTCACAGCTGTTACAGCTCCAGTGGTAGCCAGCTTCTAATGAAATCACTGTAGATGAAAGAATTAAAACTTGAATTGGTTTAAATTTTATTCCAGAAGCAAAATACATATACAATTAAAACTAAAAATAAGGTAAAAAAAAGAAGCCACTAGAGAAGGAAGTTTAAAAGAGGTTATCCCTATATGAAAACTTCCTTAAAAAGTACAATAAAATCAAAATTAAAATTAAGGTCCTTCATTACAATTAAATAATTAAGTGCAATTTGAGCTTAGATTTAAACTGCTGAAAGTATATTAGCTTCCACTACATCTCTTGGTAATTCATTCCATAATTTAACAATGCTAATGAAAAATGAATGTTTATACCAAATAAGTTTTCAGTAAATAAAGATTAATATTCAATGTTAGTTTTGGGTAACCATACCATTATTGTGAGGGTAGCACAGTACATGTTAATTGTTACATACATTGGCACTCAGACAATTGTCTCACACTTGGCACTGTCTCAGATTCAAATTGGTCTACTGCCAAGTGCCTTTGGCAAATTTAGCAGTCCAAACAATCCTAAAAACTGTCTCAAATCAGAACCAGCCTTGGGTTTGTATATACTGGTAGTCATTAGAATTCTAAGGATTCAAAAACGTGTTTACCTGATCTGAACCAACTGCACCATTTATGTCGCATTCTCTACCTAAGCTTGTGCTATTACTTGAGGAGACACATGTCATACTAGCAGAATTCCTCTTAAGGGAAGCATCGCGTTCACTATCAACTGAAATGAAAATTAGAAACAATATTCAATAAATGGCATTCAATAAATTGAGAAAACCTAACTCTCCACCACTTCATGCATAGAGTCAGTGTCTGATGTGACAAGCCACGCACTTTCAGTCTATGAGATCTATTTTTAAGAGCCTTTTACTTTACCCTTTCAAGAATTCCTTTTCCAATAATTATTTTACATACTTAACTTTTTCTGTGCTTCAATCAATGGCTTGTAAAAATTCTCAACGCTTATTTACTGGGCATTAATGTCTGTTTTGTTGTATAACATTACATGCACATTAAATTGCAGAGGTGGAACAATTAAGGCATCCAAATTGTGATTGAGGAGATTCGGATCCTTTGCCAGAAATTAGCTGATGAACATCAGGTACTTTATGTACCCACTGACACATCACTCCAGCCACTGTTATTCTACCTCATGTACAGAGTCTTAGTGAAAGTGAAATGACATTGTGAAATTGAAAGTTTAGTTTTTGGTATTTTTCTAATATTACCTCGTGTTATTGTTGTCACAGGAGAAAAAGCAGATGTTCCAAAAGTGGTTTCCATGCGTGCCTAAAAGAAAGATATTTATATTTTAATTGTACTATTAGGGACACCATAATTAGCTGTGTGAGACACAGAAATAAATAATTTGTCACCTAAACCACAAGCTTTCTCTACAGATACTAGAAGTTCTGCCAAAATTATTGCCTTGGAAATTCATTAAAAACTCTGAGGTATAAATTGTTTTACATGGTACCACAAAGCAAGTTAAAGACCCCCTTCTTTTATAATGGTAGTAAGTGCAAATGTTTTTAAAGAGGATGTTTTGTCTTCAAAACAATGTTAGTATGATTTTCTGATATGTTGATGGTTACAGTTCATCTGTTGATCAAAGCAAATCAAAAGGGAAAAAATCCACGATGACTAATTTATCAAACTTTCAATTGCAGTAACTGTTTACCTGTTACAGGGTTAAATATATATATTTTTTAACTGGTTGAAAACGATCACACCATTCAAATTCAAAACATAAATGTCACAGGTAACTTTAACATTAAGACTTGAGTTGAATACAGTGTATACTGGGAACTACAGAAAATAAAAGATTCCACAAGTATAGAAACAGTTTATTTGGAAATCTACTAAGAGATGGACGAAGAAATAGCCCAACGGCGCTTTCAGGCGAGTCCCTATTATAATATCTCTTGCATTTGACCGCTGTGTGGGTTTCATAGCTGCTAATTTACTAAATAAATGAGTGATGGAGAAAATTACTAAGCCTTATCCCTTCACTTTGAGCTTCCTCGCTTCATCATAGTATTGTAGGATTCGAATTAAAACCATGTGGTTTTATTTTTCATGGCTCCATTCACTGAATGAAGTGGAGAAAATGAAACTTGTACCCAAATAAAAAATATCATTAATTATGCAGACAATGCATGCCAGCATGCTGAATTATTCTGAGATCGATGATCTTGAAAAATTTCGACGTTTATTTTCGATTGCGTTAAAATAAAGAAGAATCGTGAATGGGGCAACATTAAGTTAGCGTAAAAAGTCACTCAGTGTTGAAAATATAATTCCAAATACCACAGTACACGCTAAATCAACAAGATTGAATAAACCTAATTTTAAGCTGATATAAATTAAGGTTTTCAACCCGATCTGAAGCCATCTGCCTTCCCTAACTCAATGAGTACGTAAGATGTCCCTCGGTGACTGCATTTCAGAACGCTAAGCAGTTGTTTAGAGATTTTCAAAGTAATAATCTTAAAGAAAAGTCTCTTTTCTCAGTTAAGCTAGTTACCTTTGTGTTGATGGATTCGTAAGATCGTGATCTTACACTGTCTGCTTGCATATTCCCAATAACCCCGGACATTTTTCGAAATACAAAACCGCACGTCGGAGATGAAACTCACGCGAATGATCAACAACTTTACGGTTACGTTGGAAAGAAATACTGGGGTTAATCCATCTTGATGACCCTAATAACAGTTCTCGAAAGGTTTCGAGAGACTTATTGGGATAAGAACCACATAAAAAACACGACAATCCTCGCTGCGTGCTCGCTGAAATGAACGTTTACGGAGTAGTGACATTTCCTGAGTCCCAGATCCTTTTGGGATAGAATTGCGCACGCACATTTCAAAGAGGATTTTGGCGCCAAAAGGGCGCGCTTCTACTTGCTGTGATTGCTCCATGCCTGAATTTCAGCCGTGCCCTTCAGGAATAAATAACAAAATAAAAACGAATTCTAATACATGAAAAATAATCGTTTCTAGCGTGAGATCGAGATTTAGATTGCATTCGCAATAAAAGGAAAAGCATTCGAGAATGGATGCGTTCTGTTCAAGTCATGCAGTTTGCCCGGGCAGTTTGCTGGCTTTCAACAAATTCACACTTCGTTTTCGAGTTCTCACAGGGTCCTCCTGGGAGGGCTGTTTATTTAATATCGAGTTGAAGCCTCTTCGTTTTTCGATTTGTCTTTTGAGTGTTTCGTTTTCGAGATGCCGGTTCTTCATTTTCGTGTTTTGAGTGCTTCGTTTTCGAGTATTGAGTTCTCCTCTTACATCTTGTTGCTCGTGGTAGCGTTGTAGGTTCGATAAGACAGGATGAAATAATACACGTCCACTTCACTGCCATCATCAGCCCCGCTTGACAACAGCGCCAATTTTAATTTCCTAGCCTGTGTTGCAGGCATACACTGGGAAGGGGAGGCGAAAACTGCTTCTCGCATTCCCGCTCTCCCTCAATCTTAGGACCCCTCTTAGCCATGTAACCTTCCTGCATCGTTTAAAGTGACGGTGAAGGGATTGTAAATAGCCTGTAGAAAATTCGCCCATTTTTTTCCCTCAGACTTTGCTTTTGAAGAACCTTTTTTAGTCTAATTTCAACTAAACGCCCGGGGCACTGATTTGCGCGAAACGTGAACATGAAAGGTGAACCGTGAACTGAATGTCAGCATTCCTTTTTTACCTCTGTGATCTGTTATTCAAGTGGCCAGAGGCGATACATGTTCTAGTACCAAGAACTCAATTGTTGGTCTACGAGCAGAAAAACAAGGCCAACAGTGGCGGCCGCACACAGACTACTCAATTGCAGGGGTGGACCCAGGATTTTTATAAGGAGGGGGTGCGCCACTAGCACTCACTAAGGAATGGCATAACTCACTGGCGAGGTGAACAAATTTTTAACGTGAATACAAAGAAGACTTCATCCCAGGGAGGGGTACGCACCCCTACGCCAGAGGAATTTGAAAACGCAGGTTTCACTCTGAAAACGCATCAAATGTGTTCCGTCCACACTACGCCGGAGAAATTCCAAAACGCAACAATCACCGGCTATTGGGATTTGTGTTTAAGTAAAACTCGAGCAGGGAAATCATATGATTATTGTAACCTCGTCGTTTTCGAAATGTTTTCTGTCCGCACAACGCAAAGCCGGTGTTTTTAAATTCCCGGCTCCGGTTTGAAGAGCGTTTTCGGAAAGCTCCGTTTCCGTGACGGATTGGTGTGGACGAAAGGCCTAACCAGAGAAAGAAAGCTGCGTTTTTAAATTCCTCCGGCGCAGCGTGGAGGGC